AAAGGTAAATAAGTTAGCAGAGCCAGTTGAATGCACACGCTCTAAATTCTTGCTTAAGAGTAAGACTAAGAGAGTGGTTAGCTTATTATAGCTTTACCTGTTATTAGAAAATGTATCCTGCATTAAATCCAACATCAGTGGCTAATTAGAGAATGGAGAAAATCACATGGTCTCAAAAAAACATACTAGCAACATTAAAATTCTGTAAAACCCTCTCAAGCTGGAAAGGCTTCAATGAGAAATGATGTGATATCTGAACCTGTGATAGTAGGTAGTTAATATCTTGGCCACAGTAACTTGTGAAAACTGTCTACTAAGGAGCATCTATCTTTTAAGGATTGTGTCTGCCACATTAAAATGTAAGCTTCTTGAAAGTAGGAATTTCTTTTTTGTTTGTTTGTTTGTTTGTTTTTTGCATCCCCGTTACTAGCACAGTACTGCCACATAGCACTAAATTAATGCTTAATTCATTGGTTGGTTGACTGATCAAGTTTAGAATTTTCCTCAGTGAAGAAAGAGCCTATCCCAATGAAATAATGAATCTATCATAGATCCTTATCAAAGTAAGGTGAAGCAAAAATTTTTATTTGGTGTACTATAAACAAATAGTAATATAACCAACCCAACTCAAATTAATGTCTATAATAATAAAGATGTTCAGTTATAAACACTAATTTCACAATAATCATAATATGCAATGGAATTTGCTGAGCCCAATTAACTGTCCATGTAAACGCTCATAGACCTATCAGAATACAATTTGGTCAAAATCTGAGATTTCATAGGTATAGGGAATTGCAGCATGGAAACTCCTTTAGGACAATTCAGGTGGGCAAGTCATGGTCCCTAGTATGTTTAAGGCACTATCTTAAAAAAAAAAAGTGAGGCACTGTGAGCTTGTGATTTCCCCATGATCACATCCCCAGCATTGTGTCAGAAGCGACAATTTGAACACAGGATTTTTTGACTCCAGATGTCTGCTCCTGGGACCCCAGACTCTGAAAGATGGGCTTTTTGCCTTATCTTGCCCAGAAACAAGCCACAATGCCACTTCCCAACTATTTCCAAATTATATGGCCCTCTCCCCACTTCCTTGCTTTCTTACTCTAGCTCTGCTTTATATATTGTCTTCTTCTTTTAGAAAGTAAGCCCCTTAAGGGCAGGAATTATATTCCTTGCTTGTATCTATAAAGCTTAATAAATGCTTTTTCATTCATTCATTCAGAGACTGACTCTCTAGAATATTATACCAGGCTACTCTTTATCCTTAGTCTCAGGACACCATTAGATGAGGAGATGATGATGAAGTAATAGAACTATTTGCATATACTGTTAATGGCTCCACCTCTAATAAGTATCATGAAAACCTATAAAAAGCTGTAATGTCACAACAAATAGAAAAAAATTAAGACATAAGTTAGTGGAAGGTAAAGAAGAAAGGAAGGAAGAAAGGGAAGGAGAGAGGGAAGCAGGAAGGAAGGAAGGGGAGGGAAAGGTGAGAGAGGGAGGAAGGGAGGAAGCACCTTTAGGGTTATGCAAACCAATATCAAATCGCATATTTTTATATAATACCAAAGAGCATCTATAACTATTACTGCAGTAAATATCACAATGATTCAACTTCTACTACAAATAAGTAATAATTCTACAAAAGTTCTCTATATATCCCTAATGCTCCAAATTAAATAGGGCCTAACAAAAAATAGCAAACTTGCCAAGATATTACATTGTGGATATGTTTTCCTTGGGACGTACCAATTTTTTCATCTATACATACATTTACTCAAAAGGGTCCCCAACCATACTCCCCAGGCAGGTTAATTTTTAAATTTCATGGCATCTTAAGTTTGTGTACAAGTACCATCTAGTGGCAAAGCTTGGCCACTGCAGGCTTATGAGCCTTTCCAGCTAAGACTGAGGATTGATAACATTTTGTTGCTTTTCTCAGTTACTTGTAAAGTTGCATGTCGTACTATAATTCAAGGAATTAAACTGCTGTTTTAGACAGTTTTGTAAGAGATTCTGAATCTTATGAACGATTAATAAAATGATGACCCATGGAAATAAGAAGTATAAAGGGGAATGTATTAAAAGGCATATGGAAAAATCACCCTGTGAATTTTAAAGTAGTAATGGTAATAGATTCCCCATGTAAGTCCTTTGGAAAACAGGAAGTCTATTCAGCATTGCTCTACCACTGCATGAAAACATTAAGAGCACAGATAAACCCAGACTGTAGCTAAAGGATTTGAGAAATTTCCAATTCTATGGATGAAATTCATTATGATTTCATTGAATTAAAAAAAGTTAAGAATGGTGAAGACAGTAAAACTGAGAGAGAAATTAAATATGAGCTGAGAGTGGTAGTGATGAATATGATAAGAAAAAAAAGAATAGCTTTAGGCAAATCATTAATGAAAACTTTATACCTTAAGTTAATTGTAATTGTAATCAAGATATTTGTGTGAAACATTTTAAGGAGATTACTTTAATTTTCTCTCTGGTTAATATGGTACATGCAAATGGACAGTGACATCATCAAAAATCTCAGTAGCGATATGGGCATGACAGAAAGGTAAGCACCAGGAAATGTCATTATATAATGGTATTATATTTATCTGCATAAATATTTAATTCATTATTCTCCATTCCCCTAGATTATAAGACCCTTGAAGGATTGTGTCATCCTTATCTTTGTATCTTTAGTACCTAAAAGTGCCTTGCACATAATAGACACTTGAAAAATATTTGTTGTGATGAATTGAATTGAATATGAAGGAATTGATATTATTATATTAGTAAATCTGAATGTTGTAATCTTTTTCTTCTGAAGACAAGACAAAAGAGGATACATTTAAATTTTATTAAGACTTGGGTTAGAATTTCTGACTATATATAATGCCATATATATAATCTTGATAGTAATCAAGAAAGTAAAAAAAAATTATCTACAAATAAATTGATGTATGATAGACTCTAGTATTGGTAGAAAATCTTGTTTGTGATAAAAAAAAATTTGCAAGTAGATTATAAAATTGTATAAATAATAATCATACAAATATATTTTCTAATAGAAAATTTTGTTTAATTAGGGGGCAGCTAGGTGGCACAATGGATAGGGTGCTGGGCCTGGAGTCAGAAAGATGAATTTTGCTGAGTTCAAATCTGACCTCAGACACTTACTAGCTCTGTGACCCTGAGAAAGTCAATTAAGCCTGTCTGCCTCAGTTTTCTCATTTGTAAAATGAGCTGGAGAAGGAAATGGACAAATGAACAATAACAACAAAATGGGTATTCCTACAAATTCACAGTTAGCTATCTTTCTGTGATATTAATATGTTGATTTATTGGAAGTAGAGAAAGAAACAAAATAATCTATCCCTCAAAGTTCTTTGACTGTATTTCCATTGTCAGAAAAAAATAGGTAAAAATTATTCTAACTTTACTAATGACAAAAGATTCATGCTTCTAGTCCCTCATTTTGCCTTTTACATAGCAAATTTTTAAAAGCATTTAAAGAACAATTAGATTAATTCAGCACACTTAAACTGATACATGGAAAAAGTGATTTTCTTTACAATATGATATATTACTACTATATATGCAGATGTGTATGATTCATTATAAAAAAACAAATAGCATTATGAAAAAACTAGAATCAATTTTTGGCTATAGTGAAGCAAGAATTGAAAGTAATTTCTAAAACAGTAAATAGCCCACAGGAAGTCTATAAACTGTTTTAAAGACAACTTCCTGGAAATTCCAAGGAAAATACAAAGTAAAGACCTAAAAAGATAATGTAAACAAATGAGGACACTTCATAGTTGCCTAGCAAAGGAAAGAAAGTTATTAGAAATGGAAGGGACATAAAGAAAAGGAACCTTTTAAGATATGGAAAGATTAGCCAAATGAAGAAAAAAGAGAAATTATCAGACTATAGCAGGTCAAGTACATGCTGGAAATTGGATGATCCAAAAAGGAACTCAAAGTCAATAATAATTTTTTAAAACCTTCTGAATATAGATTTCTATAGCCTCCAAGGAATTTTAAATTGTGGGTGACTCAAAGTGCAACTGATAGGTACACAATGAATATAAGGAGGCTGCAACCTACTTAAATGGCTATATATAAATATATATATATATATATTCAAAAAAATGATGTAAAAGATGTGATCCGAATGCTATATGAGGAGAAAAGAAGGTGAACTTATCATATACCATGTACATAGGTTGATGCAGACACCCTACATACTGTACTAGTATTCATACAATGTTAAAAGAACTAGAGGAACAATCTAAGCACATTGGGTAGACCATGTATTTAGGATTGTATGAGGTTCATGGATGAAATTTACTCAAGATGAGTAGATACAGGTGGGTTGTGATCATTAGCATTAATCATAGATACAGTGAAGTATTGAGTATCTAATACAGATAGTGCCTCAGATGGTGTCCTGAACTCACAGGGCAATTTCCTCAGCAGATGGATGCCTTGAGTTCAAGGTACTCTGCTGCTCTTTATCCCCTAAAACTGTCAAATACATAGCCTGTGAGCTGCATGAGGCCCACAACGTTCTTGAGTGTGGCCTATACCAGATTAAAATATAGTTCCTATCTGATTTTAAGGGTGTCACAGTAGCTAGAGTGCAGGGCCTGGAGTTAGGAAAATTCATCTTCTTGAGTTCAAATCTGGCCTCAAATATTTACTAGCTATGTGATCCTGAGCAAGTCAATTTACCTCTGTTTCCTCTGTTTGCCTCAGTTTCCTTACCTATAAAGTGAGCTGGAGAAGGAAATGGCAAACCATTCCAATATCTTTGCCAAGAAAACCCTAAATGGGGTCACAGAGAGTCATACATGACTGAAAATGTTTGAACAACAAAAATCTGATTTTGATGTAAAGGTAAAACTGTTAAGTCCTTTTCTATAGCAAAAACAAAACAAAACAACTTTTAACCCACAATTATACTTTATGAGCAGTGGAAGTACAACCATTACCTGTATCTGCGATATAGTTAAAGGGTATCGGAATAAGATCCAAGTAACGCCTTCACTGCAAGGTGGGATAGTAAGGGAGCCTTCATACACCCAATAATCACGCAAAAGAGGATCTGTTTTTTTTTTTTAAAGAAGGAAATAAATCACAGTAATGTGTTAAATAAGAATAATCATAGGTAGCATTTATATAGTGTTTTAAGATTTACAAAGAGCTTTATAAATATCATCTCACTTAATCCTCTCAAGAGCCTTATATGGTAGATGTCTTTATAATCCCACCTTTACCAATGAGTAAAATGAGGCTGAGAGATTAAGCAGCTTGCCCAGATATGCACAGCTAGTGTCTGAGGCAAGATTTGAATTTAGATCTTCCTGCCTCCAAGACTAGCTCTGCCACTGAGTTAGTAGGGACACCAAATAAAAGTTGTTTTTTAGAAAACAACTACTTTTAAAATATACTTGAGACTTTCAATGGAGTAATTCTCAAGCTATTTCCTTCAAGTTACTAATGGCAGTGATAGAACTCATAGATGATGCCTATTTCATTCTTCTAAAATTTCATGGAGAAAAAAACTTACCAAAAACCTGTGATAACCATGATATGTCATTTCTTTGAAATCAATCCATTTATTAACATGGATAGCTAAGAAAGACATAATCCATCTCCCCAGGGGGAAAGAAAGAACAATGAAAAAGTGTTAAGCACCATTTCAACACACAGAAGACAAGGGAAAACTGATTATACCTGAAACATGTAGATGCAGAAAATCAAATTTCTCTAGTCTCTTGGAATATCCAGAAGACTACAAGTGTTTAAACAGTTAAGATTTTTTCTAATTTCTTTTCCTTTGTATTCCAGAGGCAGCTAAATGGACCAATTCATTTGTACCTTTTTGTTGTGTATAACAATGCTGATGATAGAGATTTCATCCTCCTTTCAGTGAACTGCTTGTATAAGGTGCTTAACATCTCTCTACAATGTCTAGATGTCTAATCACTTCCTGTGATGGAATGATCTCTGGTGACTGGCAAAAGGACATTACAGAAGATAGTCTCCAATTTTATGTCCAGAATTGAGTAATGAGTAAGTGGTATTCTTGAAGTTGGCAGGACCCACTTGTCCTACCTCACCCAGTCTTGTGAAGATAAAATGATAAGTACTGTGTAACTAAGAAATGTCTCATAACTTTTACTGTTGCCATTTTATTTTTCCCATTGTTCATGGAGCTGACAAATTCCCTATCCTATTGACAAAGGGTTACTCCCATGTTTGCAACTGTTGCAATTTGGTGCATGCCTTCTGTACTCATAGATGCTATTCAATGAGAACTTATAACAAAAGATTTTGAAAATACAAAGGTATAAATTCAAGAGAAAGCATAATGTTTACTTACACTTTTAGTTACAATTCATTTTACAGATTTCAGTGTTAAGACCACTCACCTGGTAACAAAGTATTTGGATTAAAGCAGGGTATTATTTTAGTCTTCCCCTAGGGAAAAAAATAGTACTAATTAACCTCACATTATTTTCAAATGTGAAGCATGAAAAATACAAAACAAAATGGCAGAAGATTCTTCAAATGACTTTTGATGAGTCTACAATATTTGCAACTATCCGATATTTAGTGGGTTGTTTTCTGGTCAGAGATAAATTTGAAGTTTTGATCAAATTAATTCTACTACAAATCTATGTTTATTTCAAATTCTCCTAATCGTATTTTTCTCCTTAATTACCAAGAGGCAAACTTTCTCCAAGGATAAAAATGTTTGGAGTCCAGCGTCCTTTTCTTGATGCCAGATTTGAATTTAAGGAAAAGATCTATCCCATCATTCAAAGTTTCACATTTGAGATCCCCAAATGATCTGCTCTTATGTTTATAATTGAAATGAAAATTAATCCTGTATGTACCCCAAACTGAACTTTAAAACATTAATCCTTTACTCAAAGCAAGAGAGTTCACTTTAATGTGCCAAATTGAGTTTGCCCACCTTCTGTGTGTTGCATTGTAATATCATCTGTATCTCTAAAAAAATTAAACTCAAGTCCAAGAACTGAACTCAGATCATTATTTTTCAATAACTAATGCCATAATAAATGAAGCATAAACAAGAGCATCTTTTGCATTCCGAGTTATTTCAATCAAACATAAAGTAGGATGAGAGGTGCCTCTTCCGAACCCTAGGTGTATGCATTTAGATTGAAGTGGTCATCAAAATTTGGTCTTGCCTAGATGTGCCCTTTGAAATCCACTCTTAAAGTGATCAGTCAAAGGAGCCCCTTGAGATCTTCTCTATGGCTGCATTTTAGGACAACTCTATCTCTCTGAAAGGTTCTAGACTAGTCCAAGACCCCACAAACTTAATCTAGAGTTGAACTGAAAAAGATCTTAATCTTCAAATTAGTTGTGAAATGAATCCGATGATTCATTGAGAGCTTTTAGACCAAATAGGCATTGCCCAAACACCATATCTATGGCAGCAATACAAGACTGAACTAAACTCTCCAGGCCCACTTTAACCCAAATATAAATTCCAAAATGGATTCGGTATAGGCCTGTAAGGTAATATGACCAGCTCAAAATGTGATTCCATGATACATTTAAGGACATTTTCCTATGACTATCATTCACCTGAATAGTATCTTTCAGGTCATATTCTTTTTTCTTAGTATAATCACAGTAATTTTGTATTGCCTCATTGTATTTATTAGGCAATTTTTTTTGATACTTACCTCACAACTTCTGTTGATTTATTATACATCTCTCATACATCAAGTTTTCTTTTGTTTTGTTTTTCCCCTTTTTAAATAATGACTTACCTTGTACTGAATATCCTGGAGAACATCAGTTACTGCCTTCAAGCCAATGTGCTCTTTTCCTATCTGAAACACAAAGAATAAACAATCCAAAAATGGAAGTTTATGTTTTGCACAATGTTATTGTACAAAATATTGTAATAAGTTGACTACCATATGTAAGTGGCATCTTTTTGTTTGGAATAATTCAGTTACTTCCACATTAGTAACTATGATAGAGTGCCGTCAAACAAGATTAAGTGGTTAAAGTCTAAAAATGCCTTTAAAAAAACTTGGAGTCAGGAAAACTAATCTTCTTGAGTTCAAATCTAGCCTCAGATACTTATTAGCTAAGTGACCCTGGGGAAGTCATTTAACCCTGTTTGCCTCAGTTTCCTCATCTGTAAAATAAGCTGGAGAAGAAAATGGCAAATGACCCCAATACCTTTGCCAAGAAAATCCCAAATGGGGTCATAGAGAGTCAGACATGACTGAAAAATGACTGAACAATAACAATAATAATTAGATAAAATCAAAATTGCAGCCCAAACTGGCACAACAAAATAATTAAATATCAAATGGGCAACAACTCATTCTAACTTCATCTTATTGTATAGCAGGGAAAAAAATTTCCTTTGCGACACATCAAATCAGAAGATGAAAATGTCAAAGACACATCACATTTTGTTTGAAAAATATTCAAAAAACTCAAGACAACAAAAGCATAGCTAAACCTTTCTGTTTTTATCCCTATCCCATCCCCAGCTTTGCAGAACAGTGAAACAGAGGAATATTTTCCCATATCCATTATCATGGAAGAACAGCCACAACAAAGCAGATATATGGCACAATGGATAGAGTGCCGGGCCTGGAATCAGGAAGACTCATTTTACTGAATTCAAAGTGGCTTCAGAGACTTACTAACTGTGTGACCCCGAACAGGTCACTTAACCCTGTTTGTCTCTATTCCTCATCTGTAAAATGAGCTAGAAAATGAAATGGCACACCACTCCAGTATCTTTGTCAAAAAAAAAAAAAAACAAATGGGATAGTGGGATCACGAAGAGTCAGACACAAAAAACAACTCGACAACAACCAGATATTTAGTAACTGAAGTAAGGGTAACATTAAGTACTATGGAAATACGACTATGATCTTAAATAGTTTAACCATATGATTTTTATTTTAAAATTTATTGATAAGAACATGCTGTTCACATTATGTTGTTTAAAGTCAATTCACTTTTGGTTAAATAAATAATATCCACAAGCTGGTTTATTGTTGGGAGATGGGGAGAAGTGAGAATGAGATTATTGTTTCCATTTTTTTGTTTGTTTTCTATTGTTTTATTTTAAGAATTTGCCAGCCTGATGAAATGGAAAGAGAGTTGCCTCTGAGTCACAAAGATCTAGACTGAAGTCTTGCCTCTGTCAAGTACTGGTTCAATGTGAGCCTGGTCAAAGTCAGAATTTCCCAGGCCAGTCTCTAAAATGGTAAGGTAAAGAATGGTTACTGATCTGCATCAGTAAAGGAAGTTCTTCTACACTAATGATATCATAGATGAGGAGTGGGGCAGGGTCAGTATTTAGGCTACTTGGATATAATTTCTAAGGTTAGAAAAAGCAGCACAAATTAATTTTCTTTGCTTTTCCTTTTTTCTGGCCAATCATGCTTTATCAACATGGTGAAGGTAAAGTAATTAAAGTCCACAGATAAAATGATAGAATATATGTAAGGCACTTTAAAAACCTTAAAGTACCATATCAGTTAATAATAATAATAATAATAGCAAATTATAGATAACATTTATATAGCACTTACTATGTTCTAGGCACTGCACTAAGCTCCTGACAAGTATTATCACATTTGCTCTTTACAAGAAGCCTGGAATGTAGGTGCTATTACTATTCCCATTTTACAGATGAGGAAATTGAGACAGACAGAAATTAAGTGACATTATGATTATCCAAAAAGGCATTTTAGCTATTAGCTCCTTTTCTCACATATAATAGCTACCTACTAGGAACAAAACTAAATGATTGTATTGGCAACTTCCCTTCTTCTCTGGAGTTTTAACAGTAAAATATTAGTAAGACAAGCTGGAAAAAAGAGGAGAAACAAAGACTTTGTGTAACCTGTAAATAGAATCATTGGTCTCTAAATAATCAAGCTGACTTTGATGGATTGTCAGGTCTTCATTATTCTTTAGATAGTTTTTTTTTTTTAGTAAACATGGAACTAATTCAATTTTAATCAACAAATGAGAGATATAGGCACATTTGTAAGAGAATAGGTACTCATGAAGTGTTCTTCCCTATCTATTCCAGCTAACATATTCCTAGACTTCTTTAGCATTTAGGAACCTAAACCACATTATTTATATGCCATCATATAATCTGTCATATCTTGGTTTCAAAATTGTTTGAAATATGTGTGTCTTATTCCCCAATAAGATTGTAAGCTCCTTGAGATCAAGGCCCGTGTTTTATACTTTATTTATATTCCATAGCACCTAACATTGTGCCCTAACATGCTTGCTTAATAAATCCTTCTTGATTGGTTGTAAAAAGGAATAATTTTTAAGTAGATAGATTATACATGGAGAGCTTGCCCAAATCAATGAGATCACAAATCCATCAAAGTATTGAAGATAGATATTCTTTTAAAGTTAAATGGAAATGTACCAAATTTTTAAGGCATGGATTTATAAGATATCTATCATTCCATTTTAATCTAGAGATATATATTCCTAAAAAGGGGAGCCATTTTCATCCAGACAAAGACAAATCCTAGAGTTATTTATTTTTAAAAAAGCAATAGCAAATTATTAATACTTTTGAAAAAGTTGTTATAGTAATATAGTAGTAAATAGTTATAGTTTTAGCTAAGTACAATTCAATTAACTCTGCTAAAAATTCGATAATGACAACCAAGTCAAAATTATTGTTGCAGGTTTTCCCAGCCTAGTGGGAATTAGGAGATCTAATTGAAAACAACAACAACAACAAAAATAAATAAATAATAAATTTTAAAAATCCTAACTGCTTAATTGACCAATCCAAGTAAACTCACTGGATCTTAGTTATGTCATCTACAAAAACCAAAGGGATCAGGTTCTATTAACTCTTCAAATTCTCCACATTCTAAGACTCTAAGCAGATGAGCTGAAATTGCAAGTGTTCACATTATATACTAGCTAACTGGCTCACTGTTTTTAGTTTTAAAAGTGGGTTTTATACTTTCTTGATTTTCTCTAGCTTAGTCTAATTAACTAAGAAGTCGTATGATTGATACTTCATAGATTCTATGGTTAGTCTAAGATCATTGTAAAGGATTCTTATAAAATAAATGAATAATGTCATAAGAAGACTTAAACTAAATTCTCTCTTCCAGGATATTTGTACTTCCAGAATAATACTCTGAAGGAAGTACTATGAAGGAATTATTTATCTATCTAAAAGAGGTTAAGTCTTTTCTACTAAGGAATATAGCTTTGTACATCTTGATCTCCAAAGATACACATGTCTGTTTAAAGTATCAAGGGGTTTGTCTGCTTTATTAATAAAACTACAAAATAAAAATCCAGTTCCAAGCAAATTAAAAAATATCATTTGGCATCTCTAAATCGTAATGTATGATATTAATAGTAGACCATTTACCTGAACAAACAAAGCAATAATAGCTATTCCATGTGTTTTCCCCACAGCCTCATCAATGCTGCTATAAAGGGTGGAATTCCAATGGATAAGATGAAGCTGGAAAACAAACGACATAGGCAGAAGAGGTTAGTGGCAGATATAATTCACTTGTAATTTGGAAATGGGAAAGGAAACTTTGGAATATCTTACATATTACATTTCATAAATCAGAAAATCAAAGAATTTGAGAGTTGAAGAGAAATTTGAGAGTTGAAGTTCCATATAAATCCAACCTATCTGCAAAAGGATTCTTCAGTATAACATCCCCAACAAATATTTGTCCAGACTCTCTTTAAAGACTTCCAAGGTCTACCACCTCCTGAGACAGTCCATTCCATTTTTAATAGTTCAAATTATTAGGAAATTCTTCTTTATATCAAACTTAAATTTGCCTCATTATAACTTCTTCCTATTGCTCCTAATTCTTCCCCCTGGGGCCAAGCAAAGTAGGTCTATTTTTTCTTCTATATTGCAGCAATTCAGATATTTGAAGACAACTAACATGTCTTCCCAATACTTCTCATTTCTAAGATATTTCCAGTTCCTTCATCTAGTTCTTATATGACATGATCTTGACATCCTGCACCATCTTGCTTGCCCTATTCTGGACAATCTTCTGTTTATCAATGTTCTTCCAAAAATGTGGTTCTGAGATCTGAACATAATATTCCAGGACTACATGTGGCCTGAGCTGGGTAGAGTACAGTTGGGACTTTCATCTTCATAGTTCTAGATCAGGGGTGGGGAACCTGCAGCCTCGAGGCTACAAGTGGCCTTCTAGGTCCTTGGGTAAGGCTTTTTTGACAGTCCAAGTTTTACAGAACAAATCATTTTTTTTAGGGGATTTGTTCTATGAAGTTTGGATCCAGTCAAAGGGCTGCACTTAAGGACCTAGAAGTCCACATGTGGCCTTGAGGCCACAGGTTCCACACCCCTCTCTAGATATTATGCCACTCAATGCAATGCAATTCAATTAATTAAGCATTATTTGAACACCAACTATGTGAAAGGGACCTTACTGAAAATACGAAGGCAAAAATAAAACTGTTCTTATCCTCAAGAATCACAGAGGTTACATTCTACTGGGTCAGACAACAGCAGGGGAAATAAAATGATCAAGATAAGGAAATCAAAAATATATCAAAGTAATCTCAGGGGAATCATTAGCAACTGAGGGATTTTGAAAGGCCTTATACAGGAGATGAGACTTGAGCTGATCTTTGAAGGGGACTAAGGATTCCAAGAAGCACAAGGAGGGAAAACATTCAATACATGGGAGGAAACCTATATAAGTCACAGAGGTGGAAAAAGTATTGGCATAAATGGAGAATGGCAAGAGCGCCAGTTTGGTCAAAATGTAGAGCGTATAAGGAGCAGTAAAATGAAGCTAATTTGTATAGATAGTTTAGCACTAGACTGTAAAGGACTTTAAATGCCAAACAGAGGAGCTTTTATTTTTTCCTGATGGAACTAGGGAACCACTAAGGCTTCTTGAGCAGGGGAGGGACATGGTCAGACTTGTTCTTTAGTAAAGCCAATTTGGCTGCTCCGTGAAGAATTACTTGGGAAAGAGGAGACACTAGAGAAAGAAAGACCTTTTAGGAGGCTATTTAAAACATTCAGGTGAGAGATGATACAGCTGAAGACTGCATTTAACTTTTTTAGCTGCCATTTCACAATGTTAACTCTTAGTGAGCTTGTAGTCCATTAAAATCCCCAGCAGTTTTCACACAAACTATTGTTGAACTATATTTCTCCTATCTTGTACTTAATAAATCCTTCTTGATTGGTTGCAAAAGGGAATATTTTTATGTAGATAGATTATACGTGGAGAGCTTGCCCAAATCAATGAGATCACAAATCCATCAAAGTATTAAAGACAGATTTTTTTTGAAGTTAAATGGAAATGTACCAACTTTTTAAGGCTTAGATTTATAAGATATCTATCATTCCATTCTAAACTAGAGTTATATAATCCTAAAATGGAATGCCCATTCTTGGACAGTTTTCATTCAGACAAAGAGATAAACCTTAGAGTTATTTATAAAAGCAAAGTAACAGCACATTATTAACACTTTTGAAAAAGTTGCTATAGCAATAAATTTTTAGCCAAGTACAATTAGCTCTGCTGTAAATTCAATAAGGACAATCAAATCAAATTATTGTTGTAGTTTTCCCAGCCTGGTGGGAGAAAAGTAAGGCTGATTTTGTTTAAAAAAAAAAACGTAGCTATTTAATTGACCAATCCAAGTTGATGATTTGAACTACTACTTTTTAACTTTTTAGATTCTGGCCAGTCAAGATCTTTGTGAATCCTGATTGTCATCGAGGTATCTCTCCTAGTTCTGTGTCTCTCATCAGCAACTTTGATAAGAGTACTACTTAGATCTCTATCTAACTCATGGGTGAAATTAAGCAGCACAGGATCAAGTACAGATCTACAAAGCACTAATGACTTCATTTATAATTGATATTGCATCAATAAGTTTGAAACTGATAGACTATTTTGTGGTTGTTGTTGTTCAATCATTTCAGTCACGTCTGACACGCGGTGACCCTATTTGGGGTCTTCTTGGCAAAAATACCAGAGTGGTTTGCCACTTCCTTCTCCAGCTCATTTTACAAATGAGGCAAACAGGGTTAAATGACTCACCTAGGATCACACAGCTCCTAAGTGTCGAGGCCAGATTTTAACTCATGTCTTCCTGACTCTATCCACTGTACCACCTAGCTGCCCAACTATACTATTATTTAAATCGTATCTCCATCTTTTCTATAACAATAGCATGGAAGATTTTGTTACATTATTTGCTAAAATCTAAGGAAACTGTATCTATAGCATTCCCCTTCTCTATTAGTCTAGTAAACTTGTCAACAAAATAAATGCAGTTAGCCTGGCATGGCCTATTCTTTACAAAGCATATCAATTAGCTCATTTTTTTTCCTTTTCTAGATGCTGACCATTCCATTAACAACACATTCTAGAAATTTACAATGAATTAAAGCCAAGCTTATTGACTTATATTTTTCAAACCAATCTTTTCTTCCCCTACCCCTCTTTTTAAAATCAGGACATTTGCTCTTTTCTTGTTCTATAGTACTTCTCCTGTTCTCTATGAGCTGTCAAACATAATTACAGTGACTTGGCAATAACTATTTCCATTTTTTTAATGTCCCCAAAATTTAGTTCATCTGGGCCTGATGACCTAAACTTAGGAAGGGCCAGTAGGTGTTCTATTATTATCTCCTCATCATCTAGGGTATCAATTCCCTATTAGCTGCGTTGGTTGTTTCCTTTCTAGCCTAGAGGTCATTGTACTTGGCAGAGGAAAATGCAAATAAAATGAGAGATAAGCAGCTTTGCCATCTCCCTTTCATCATTAAACATCATCCCATCCCCTCTGAGCAGTGGTCCTATTCTTTTCCCTTATAAAGCTTTAAAAACTACTCTCAGTTCTCATTAGCTTTTTTTGCCAACTTCATTTCATTCTGAATGTGAACATTCCTGGCACTGTCATTTGAGGATTGTGCCACATTTTATATTTATGCTCCATTACCTGCCCTGTTTCTATCTTCTCTACCAGTCTATTAAAAATCTACTTTGGTTGCTGAGTTCCCTGTGCATCCACTCAGTCTCTTGAGACAACTCCTCCTTTTCCTCCTCATCTGAATCCTTTCTCTTTGTGTCATCAGAACTTCATTACTGAGAGCTTTTCCATCCCTCCTAGGCTGGATTCTCCTATAAAATTTCAATGAATGCATTTCTACCTTTCCTTGCTCTCCTGAAACCAACGGTGGATTTCAAACTAGGTATCACTTTCTTGTCTTCTATCACAAATTCTGATGGATGGCCCTTCCCCACAATTTCTATCCCACAACAAGTAATTCCTCCTCTTTAGTGAGACTCAGATTCAGAATAGAATTTCCTCTTATTGATTCCATTACCTTTTGAAGAAAGGAATTGTTATTAAGACAAGTTAATAAAATATTAACTGCTTTGCATTTGACTGAGAGATAAAGAGTTCTAGCAGGTGCCTACATGAATGAAGTCCTTTATCATTACTGTAGCACTCCTCTATGCCAAGTTTGTGATCTATTTCCTGAACTCTCCATCTACTTCCTTCTGCTCAGATGTTCTATAGAATATTCTGACTGAAATATCATTTCTGCCTATATTCATCATCATGAAAAAGTTTTCAACACTGTTTTGCCCTTCTTGTTCCTGGATCACTTCACATAACTCTACTGTATTACATAATACTTTCATATCCATGATATATGATATATATGATGCTCTGTTGATATATGGTATATATGATACCATATTGATACTATTTTGCTCGACCATTGCCCATGTGCTTCCTTTTCTGTTTAAATCCCTTTTGATTATTTGCAAAACATCAAGAAAAAGCATTGCTGACAGCCCTTGTCAGGCATATTCCATCCTGGCCTATTATGATTATCATTCACTCCCATTCTTAGAAATTAGGTGTTCATTTCCCAAGTCTGTCTTTCTCTTCTAATGCCCTAGTGGTGAACATACCACCTTTACCCCCCCCCCAGATCCTTAGTTTCTTGGTCATAACTTTGTAATCTTCAGCAATTTTTTGCGAGGGGAGGCAATTAGGGTTAAGTGACTTGCCCAGGGTCACATAACTAGTAAGTATCAAGTGTCTTGGGCCACATTTGAACTCAGGTCCTTCTGACTCCAGGGCCAATGCTCTATCCACTGTGTAACCTTGCTGCACCTTGGCAATGCTTTCTTAATTCCTTAAGGTATATCACTTATAGTCATGTAAAAGCATAATTGATTAGTAGCTATCATACTGTAAACAACTAAGTGGCAGAGTGAACAGAGCACTGAGCCTGGAGTCAGGAAGACCTGAGTTCAAATTTGACTTCACATATCCTATGTGTGTGACCCTGGACAAGTCACTCAACTCCTGTTTGCTTCAGTTTTTTCAACTATAAAATGGGAATCATAAATAGCATTTACCTCCCAGGGCTGTTCTCCCAGAGAACAAAATGAGATGCTTTTAAAACACTTAACACAGTGC